GGCCAAATTGGACGGACCCTTTGACGACGAAGACGAGGCCAAGGCGGCCTTTAAAAAGATCTTCAAATCCAAGACGGGAGCGGCGTGGGGCGACGCCGAGCCCGGCAGCGAGCCCAGGAAGGGGAAGTACGCACACTTGGCCACCGCCGGCAGCGGAGGCAGCGCCAACGCCCAATGGTACAACCGAGAAGTGGAGGAATCAATAACAGAAAATGCACCCATTAAAGCTTCCGCGGCCAGTGTTGCAGCGCAGTCGAAGCAGACCCATGTGGCCCCGGTCTCTCCTCGGAAGGAGAGAGCAACGTCCGGTTTAGGACTCAGAGACAAACCCAGCAGCGACAAGGCCCTGAAGATTGGGAGAAAACAGGCTGCAGCAACAAAACTCCAGCAAAAACAAACCACAACCAAAGCGGAAGGATTGAATCGACCCAAAAACAAACGAAACGAAACCAGCACTAAAACTGTTGCTACCACGAGTCCAGATGAAAGCAACGATGAGGTAGTTTACATGGCAACCTACAATCCTCATTCTCCTACTCGTCAATGGGATATCAACGACGACAGTAGCTCTGGTGGCTCGAGCCCTCCCCCTGCTTCATATTCAGACGAGAACGACCTATCATCGGAAGATGCAGCATTACACGGAGCAATCTATGAGTCTACGCAAGCAGCTTCGCCCCCAAGGGCAGTCAAGAATCCACCCCACAATTGGCTACGAACGGCATCTCTGCAAGATGTAAGTACACTTCTTGTTTGATTTTTTATTGAAGTGTGTGATGGCCAAGGATAATGTTTCTTATTGGATTGCTGCTGTCTCGCTCTGTTTGGATACGAGTCTAGTCAGGCAGTGACTGCGACAAAGCCGAAGGAAGGGATTTCCATCCCTTCCTTTAATTAAACATGTGATACTAGCTAGTACCGGTCTCGATTTTTACATCGAATTGCATATGGGATTTAGTGTGGAGTGTCCTATCACGTTGTATTTATTTAGTATCGCGCTTCGCTGTTGCCTGTTATATGTACTATACACGTAGACGTCTAGGTACTGGTCCTGTATTCAGTTTCTCGTTCAACGACTAATACTAGTCTATGATATGATTAGAAACGAACTGTCTACTTAAGGGTCAGGCAGGGACCCGAAGGTCGGAGGTCTGACCCAGGGCTTAAGGGAGGGCGCAAGCCCAGCCCTCGGTCAGGCCGGACTCGGCCGGAGACCGATGGGGCACAGACGTCCTTAAGTAACCGGTTTGTTTCGAATGGAACGATAACGGCTGGTTTTGTATGACTTATGGAATAAGTAACGGCTGGTTTTGTATTTAACGGTCCGTTTCAGTAGAACACATAGAAATCCTACCGTACCAATACAAAACCTGCCGGTTCGTTCTATGATAAACCGTCAGATCCGATGAAATCCAATGAGTGGAGGTGCGATCGTGAGGTTCCGAAGATATCATGGCGAGAATTGCGTTGCATGCAAGTTGAAGGCTACCACTCGCAAATCACTTCTGGCTGCAATTGAAGCAAAGGTGCTCATTTTGCTTATTTTTTGGCTCTTTCATTTAATAAGCATAAAGCGCCATGGTGTTGGTTTAAAAGAGTGAATCTATTTGAATGGTGGAGAGTCACTTAGCTATAAGCCAGTAGGCTGTTTACGTATCAATCCCTCGAACGCTAACACCCCCTGGATCGCATGCCATTACACAGGCGCCCGGGGAGCCATGAGACAGGCACGGAGATCAAAGAAGTGACGTTTATCCTTCATTTCTTTGGTGAAAAGATCGAAAGGATTAAGTACGCCGGGAATGTGACGGAGGGAGATTCCCCCAAGACGGAGTGAATCGCGGACGGCGACTTCCCGAAGGTTGTGATGACGGAGCCGTTTAGTAACAGCTTCGGATTGTGCCCAGGAAATACCCCCCTGGTTGTCACAGAATATCAGTGGTGTGGGGTCGGCAAGATGCGGTATGCCAAGGTCTTCAAAAAGGTGGCAAAGAGCAAGGATCATCTTGACCCCTTCGTCCATAGCTTTGATCTCTGATTCGCAGACACTGCAGCTAACCCGTTTCTCACGAGCACTGGTCCAATCAAGAGGACCACCCATGTAGGTAACGACAGCGCCCAAAAGGGAGCACATTTCGCCGTCAGTGCGGGTCTCACCCGGCTTGGGATGACTGGCATCCTGGGGGCCCCAGTTGGAATCGGTGTACGTATTGAGCCGATCGTGAATATTAATCTGGGGAGATCCGTCAGTGGGCCAAGAAATGAGGCTACACATGCAGTCCTCAGGGTCAAATTGCTGGAGCGCGGAAGAAGCTTCGGCCTGCGTGTACGCGATGCCCCAACCAGAGGAACCTTTCAAGTAGCGAAGGACATGTTTGGCACTGGTTAAATGACCTGGTGAGGGATTGTGAAGGTACGACGCCAGGAGACTGGTGACGGGAGTGATATCGGGGCGAGTGCTAAGGCTGATCCAGTTCAAACCGCTAACGATCGATTGGTAGGATTTCACAAGCGAAGTTTTCTCGGATGGGTCGAGTCCGTCGTGGGGCACTCGATCAATCGGGAAGCCGCTACGGTAGGGACTATCGATGGCGTTCGCTTCCAATCGGGAGTGTTGGTCAAGCATTTTGTGGATGTGACCCTCTTGGGAGCAGTGGACACGCAGACGTCCGTCCGGAAGCACTTGCCAATCGTAGTGTGCGCCGAGATAGAAGGATAAATCACCCATAAAGTCAATTTTGAGCTGTTGACCGAGAGCTTCTTCGAACCATGTTTCGGTAGCATCATCGGATCCCCAATAGAGACAGTCGTCGACGTACATTCCGAAGGTGATAGTGCCGCCAGAAGGGGATTTACCGACAAAGACGCAGGGATCATGCTTGCAAACTTCAAGGCCCAAACCCGTAAGCACTTTGAGCTTCTCTGACAAGGGATAAGCTAGCAATTGGATCTACTTGCTAGCTAGCCAGGAACTTCTCGCTAGAATCCCTACCGTAGTTAGGCTGGTCCCTCCACAAGGACACGTCCATGCAAATTCTTCCGTGGTGTGTGGGCTTTGGATAATGGGGAAAAGTCTTTACCTCGGTAGTCTAACTGCCTGAGTCCTCTACCCCTTTAATGACAAATTTTGTGTCTGTGGGATCCCCCTGTTTTGGTGAATTTCGGTTTCTCACAATTTCAACTTTGACCTCGGCAGTCTATCTGCCTGAGCCATCACGCCTTTTCGGTATTTCCTATATGCTATTGCCTATTTCCTATTTCCTGTTCCGGTGAAGCCAACATATAGAGGTAGAGATAGGTATAAGCCAACAGAACCAGAAATTGAAGGTTCTACAAATTTAGGGATAGGAATAAATTATGATTATTTAAGGTTAGTGCACTCAACACAATAAGCCAGCAGAAGCTACAAAAGTTACAGGTACATATGGGAGTGACAGCTGTAAAATTATGGTTAGCGGGCGGCAACACACGACAAAGTCGGGTGTTGTCGCCAGGGCTAGCTTAATAAAAAAGAAGGTTATAATGAGGGAATGATACCGGGCGGCAACACATGACGAAGTCGGCTGTTGTCGCCAGGGCTACCTTGAAAGAAGGGTGCAATCTCAAACATGTCATCCTTCTTCTATCTGTCTTTCTGCCAAGGTATCGCAGCTCCAGCTGACTTAATTCTTCTTGCAAAAAGGGCACTAAATCGATTCTTTTCTCCTTTTTTGTTAGAGCCAGAGCAGACGAAACGGCCTGAAATCGCGATTTGCACCAAATTCCGGTTTATACTTGTGTTTCAATTTTGTTTTTGTGTTTCAATTTTAAATTTTGGATTCGGTCTTATATTTGGGTTTCGGCTTGATTTTACTAGTTAATTACCATTGTAATTTGGTTTCGGTTTTATATAAAGGTTTCTGTTTTATA